GTGACAGACTACAAAGTAAGAGAGCATAACTACAACACTGAGATTAAAAATAGGTATGAACTGGCAGCGAACTGCAAATTGCTTGGGCATTAGCCGACGTACACTTTATAGACACAGACAACATCTCGATGTTCAGCCACTGACATACACCAGAATGTCAAATCATGCTCTCAACAGAGCTGTAAGGAATATTTTGGAATGCACGCCTAATGCAGGAGAAAGATATGTTCATGGAAGCCTTAGAGCACGCAATATTCGAGTTCAACATTGGCATATCAGACAGAGCCTTCATGAAGTTGATCCTATTGGGCGAGCATTTAGACGACGGCATGCAATTCGGCGAAGAGTTTACAATGTTCAAGCTCCAAACCAAATATGGTAGGCTTTTTATATATTATAAGTAATTTAATGAGTAGCAAATGCTGTTGGCAGGGGGTTATAAGTAAAATAATAATATTACTTTTGTAATAAGTAATACATTTTTTGGAGTAACAAACCCAACAGAGTGGGGGTTCAATCTTCAGCTGGCTGGTAGGAGCAGTGGCAGCTGGCAGTAATGATTCTGGCAGGTCACGTGACCTGTCCACTTTAGCAAGTGTCAGCAATCGTTGATTTTTGCGTTCCTCCCTCTCTTGCTTTGGTGAATTACATTCATATATTATTATGCATCTGTTAATATGATTATGATTTTTTTTTTTTTTTTACATCATTTGTGGTTTTAGGTAATTTTATCCTAATTAAAACTTCAATTAAAATCCTAATTGAATCCAGCCAGCCGCTGTTGAGCTGCGAGTATAACGCGTTGCCTATCACTCTCGCTGCAAGGTAATTTGTTTCAATTTTATGAATATACTTTATTGAATCTATTATTTTGTATGATTGACGTTTTAGGGGGGTTTATCCCAAATAAGGCAGTCGTTGGCAGAGTGGTATAACAGCGGGTGGCTGGCCAGTCGGGATCACGGGCATTTGACTGTTTTAATTAGGATAAAATTACCTAAAACACAAATCATGTAAAATAACAACCATATCAACAGATGCACAATAATGTATGAATGTAATTCGTCAGAGCTAGAGGAACGCAGAACACAAAATATATAGTTGCTGAAACATGCCAAAGTCCCGTGACCTGCCAGAATCATTACTGCCAGCTGTCACTGCTCCTACCAGCCAGATGAACCCCTACTGATGACCATGTTGCACCTTCTGCCCAATTAAGAGTCGCTATTTCTGTTATGTTTCAGGGTGCATTCAAAATTACAATAAGGGCTGATATCAGTGCCCTAGATAAACACCATGTAATGTTTGAACAATTTAGTTGTAATAGTTAAAAGTTGTAAGTTAGTCATAACACTGCATTTTTGACCTAGTTTGTTAAATATTTTGAGGGGAAGGATGTCACCAATCCTGAACAATGCCACTACGGATTTTCAGTGAGCACTCTGGCAAAAGCCAGGCCTGCATGGGTTAAGTAGAACACATTCATAAAAACATTTCAAACTGTTTACATTAAGTTTAATTGTTCTTTTTATGCTACTTTTATTCTGGGGGAAAAAAATAATAAATATGATATTTATTAATAAATCTGAATTATCTGCTATATGGACACACTCTGCCAGCACTGCATGAAACACAATCAGAAAATTATTTATGAATCATACTGCCTTGCTTTAGGTATGAACTGGCAGCGAACTGCAAATTGCTTGGGCATTAGCCGACGTACACTTTATAGACACAGACAACGTCTCGATGTTCAGCCACTGACATACACCAGAATGTCAAATCATGCTCTTAACAGAGCTATGAAATAAATATGAAAGCATTATTTATTTATTTTTCTATAGATATTGCAATATATCGGTATTGTTAAATTTTTTCTGGCCACGATAATCGTGTAGTGAAAATTTGGATATCGTGACAGCACTATACTATGTTAATTTTTTTGGAACTGCAATATATGGAAGATTGTTTCCACCACTTTCTCTCATAATTCTCTTTTTTTTCTCAGAATTGCTAGATATCAACTTGAAATTTTAAGAAAAAAAAAAATCTTTTTTTTCTCTCAGAAAAAAACAAAAAATAGGGTCACAATTACCTTTTACGTTTTTTTTCCCCTATGGTGAAAACAAGCTTCCACAGAATTTTCATTTTTGGGTGAACTATTTAAATAATTATACTTTGGTGTTTTGCATAATATTATAGCTTTAATATAATAAAAGCATTATCTTTGTGTTTTTCCATTATCAACAGGCACATTGATGGAAACCATAAGCTTGTGAGGTGGAGAATGGTGTTCCATGGCTGTGTCGATGGTTACAGCCGAACAATAATCTATCTTGAATGTCTTGACAACAATAGAGCTACCAGTGTTCTGTCTCTGTTTCGTGTTGGTGTGCAAACTTTTGGATTACCATCTAGAGTACGTTGTGACCATGGAATGGAGAATATTGAGGCTGCACGCTTCATGCTTGAAAGAAGAGGACTAAATAGAGGAAGCATCATAACAGGCCGCAGTGTCCATAATCAAAGAATTGAAAGACTGTAGGCAGAACTGAACAGAGTCGTCACATTCCATTTTTGTAACTTATTCACATTCATGGAGAATGAGGGGATTTTAGATTCACTTAATGAACTTCACATTTTCTGCTTGCATTTTGTGTACTTGCCAAGAATTCAGAGAGCAGCTGCAGAATTCAGGGAACAATGAAACTATCATGGTCTTTCTACGCAAGGAGGACAAACTCCTCTCCAGCTATGGCAGAGTGGTGTAATTCACTATGCAGGCACAGGGAACGCTGCAATAGCTGGCGTTTTTGAGGCACCACATGACAATGAATTTGATGAACATGGCTGTCAAATCGATTTGCAGACCTCAAACAGTGGTAATTCCACCAAATTATGTTTTTATCAATGAAACAACTCACCGTGCACTTGAGGAGTTGTTTGACCCACTGTCCGAGGATGGTAACAACGGTATCGATTTGTTTTTATGTGTATGTAACTTCCTTCAAGATCGAATCTGCAGACAATGATTGTAATTTGTCACGTTGTTTACATTTCATATTTTTTCTAATAAATCAAAAGACAGGAAATCCATTCACTAAGTATTTAGTGACTTTATTGTTGTAAAAACTCTATAGCTTATGCATTTAAATCATTAAATGTGTATAAAGTCTGAAAATACAGAACCCTGTCAAATGCTCAATTAATCAAACATTACATTAGAAAAATTAAAACATTAAACATTAATACATTAGAACATAAAAATATATTAAAACCATCATGCCAACAACTACTACTGCAGGTAAAACCAGTGAAGACACTGTTTTGGATCAAGTGCCCTAGAATAAGCTCATTTTACAAATTATTGGCAAGACCTTAAAATAACTTGTTAACTACTGCACTAAATTGATGCAACATGAACAAAGAATAAACAGTATCACAATACTTACAATTTTCATTTCATTTCATTTTTTTACATTAGAGATTGTATTAACAATTCACAATGAATTGTGAAATAACATGAACTGAAATAACATGAACAGTGGTATTTTGATTAACATTACCAAAATGAATTCTCTTAAAAAAATGTTAGGTAATGATACCTAAAACTTGTGGTAATGAACAAACTCTTAAAGGCTTGAAAAGGTAACTAGATTAATATTGCAGTTTTTTTTAAGTGAAGCAAGGTACATGCAGTCATAATAGATCACTTATGCATCATGGGATCCTTTAAAGGAAAAGTTCACCAAAAAATGAAAATTGTAATTTACTCAGCCACATGTCATTCCAAACCTTGTATGACTGACTTTCCTCCATAGAACACAAAACAATATACTGAATTGACTTTCCTTACATGGACAAAAACACTCAGTATATCTTCTGTGTTCCATGAAGGAAAGTCAGCCATACTGGTTTGGAATGACATGAGGCTGAGTGAATGATGACTGTGGCAAGCAGGGCAGGGCCGAGAGCCATGTAAACGGAGCAATGCCGGTGGCGAGATTGCTAATGAGCATCACCTGCTTGCCACACCATCCTCGAGTGTCTCACAGAGGAGCTCTGGTTGAATAAAAGGAAGAATGACGACAGTGAAGGATGAGAGGGGACCAGACCTGGACTTTACATTGTGTTTTGTTTGTTTGTGTGACAGTTGTCTGTGAGGGGCTGCCGCTTTACTTTCATTTTGTTTTTGTTTATTTTATGATTATGGAATTACGTTGAATGTTAAACGGTTCCTGCCTCCTTCTTCCTTGAGCCTTAACTTTACAACATTGGTGCTAAAACCCGGAAGGAAAGAGGCAGAAACCGGCAAACTTTCAATGTAACTTCACGGACGACAGACACACAAACATAAAGCACAATGTAAAGTCCAGGCCTGGTCCTCTCTCATCCTTCATTATTGTCACTCCTGCTTTTATCCAACTGGAGCTCCTCTGTGAGACACTCAAGGCTGGTGTGCCACACAGGTGACGCTAACTAGCAATAACACCACCGGTCTACCTCCGCTCCATCGGCTCTCGGCCTCTCCCTGCTTGCCACAATAACAGTTTTCATTTTTGGGTGAATTATTCCTTTTAATACAACTTGTAATTGAGAAGGGTGCCTATTCCATGCCAAAACAATGTGTGTTGGCAAATGCAAAGTCCATGGAACTTTTGAATTCCCCGTACTTTGTGTGCAAAGGCAACTTAAGGCAATTAATGCAAGTGTTTGCCATTGGAAACCTTGATATCACTGCTGACTCAGAATCTTCCTTATGCAAGAATTCGATTGTAGGCTGTGGTGAGAAGCCAACTGGTGGAACACAACTTGCACCAGTTGCAAAAGCCAAAATCTTCTCCAATTTTGCTGGCCCTTCTTCATCTGTAAGGACAATAACAGGCAAAAATTACAAAGCTTGACATCTGAGAGTTTAACATGTGCATTACCCACAATTACAGCGCTGCACAGTAACATACGTCTCTAGGTTACGTATGTAACCATGGTTGGGGCTGTAAATACGGGATGAGTACGGTTTCTCCCACGATCTTGTCACCTCAGCATGGAGATCGGGGAAAAACGGAAAGCCCCGTCGTGAAGGCTGTGATCTGGATTTCAGAAAACGCTCATCTAATTACTTTTAGGACGAGTGTCCTGTTTCTCGGCTGGCCAAACGATATTTTTTGCACGAATCACACCCCATAATCGAGTCACACCTCATACGCGAGGGACTGTGGTGGCGAGTCCACAGTCTCCTCTGTCTCGACACTCATCACATCCTGGGCCCCGCGATCCCCACGACAACAGTCTACGCCGTGCCTCGGCAACAGCGGGACCGCTGGCAGCGGGATCGCGAGCCTGGCCGCTCTCATCAAACACAGCCAGGCGAGAGCGGAGCATACGCAGCGAGAGTAACTCGCAGTGATGACAATCAGCCCCCTCGAAAGCTGACCGTGCATGCTCAGCTCCTAACAAACAACACACAGATCATGTGTATCCCCCGCTGCCAGATAGCGTGGCAAGGGAGGCACACAACGTCTGTAATGCCGTTTGCTCGCCATAGATATTAGTTTAGACTTTGACATATTCTTTTGAATGCTTGTGGACTGACAGACAACAGTAAATAAGACTGACACATACACAGAGCGCTACTGAAGAGCAGAAGCTAACTTGCGCTCTGCCGGATGCGCTTTTATACTTCCTGGCGCTCACGTCACCCCGCTCGTGACGTCTCGCTGCTCCATTGGACTGATTTTACACGTGCTTCAGAACGCGGTCACGCAGGGGCGTTCCCAAAGCGAATCTCGACGCAGCTCGAGTTCCTGAAGGGGAACACTATATTGCCAATAGTATTGGGACACCCTCATTTATTAGTTTAAGTATTTGCTATTGACTGAGTGGTATTTGAGGCTAAGCGTACCCTATAATGCATCATGTTTGGGAACTCACGTGCCCAAAAATTGCAGGATGAGGCAAGTGTGTTAAATCTAACTCTGCTGGACATTGGTCCTGCAGGACTCCCCTGCTTTAAAAAGTCTTGTGGGTTTGGAATGACATGAGGGAGAGTAAATTAAGCCACAATTTTAATTTTCTGTTAACTAACCCATTAATAAATATTGTATTATAATCAATAAATATATTTATAACCCACCTTCCATGTCCTGAATATAATCTCGCCAAAAGGGAACAACGACCTCTTCTTGCACCCCCTTATTGTTACCCTTTTGTGACAGGCGAATCTCAAAAAGCCCTTCAAGTACATCTGCAGTTAGAGGAGCTGGCTCATGACATAAAATGGGGCGAAAGCTGGTCGGATGACGCTGAATTGCATCCAAGACACCCAATGTCTTCATTCCATCTCTGAATCTATATAGGGAAGACCGACACACAGAAAAAATTGTCACTATCATAACAATAGCAATACAATAATATAATATTTTGTATATGTAACTTAAAATTAATATGTAACTTAAAATAATCATTTTATTCATTGCAAAAAATTTACCGTCAATACAGACGCTGCATATCTATAGTGTTTGGCTGCATAATGCATTCATTGCATCCGACACGTTTTAACACTGTCACGCCTCCAACTCAGTTCAGTTAAGAAAATTTAGAGTTTCCCAGTCGTAATAACGACTTAGTGGTGGCGTTCATGTGCATTCAACTTCGTAAACACGATCTATCCGAAATTACTTGAACGCACCATAAGAATAGGATTCCGGTTAGACTGACTGGTCAGCCTAAACTCATCTTAAGAATGACAGATGCAAGTCCTGCACAGTGGCCAGAGGGATTCTGAGCCATTTCTCTTGCAGAACAGTAGCCAGAACAGTGATCACATGTGCCATCAAAACACTCCAAACACTGTTTTAACACTGACTTTTGACCCGCTTTGGAGGTTAGCAATGAGTTGGTTAGACAGTAGTTTCTCCCAACCACTAGTATATGGAAATAATTTCTACTATACCTCCTGATCACACTGCAAGAAAAGTGATGTTCTTTTTCAGTAGTTCTGTCTCGTTTTCCAGTGCAAATATCTAAATGGATCTTAAAGGGTTAGTTCACCCAAAAATGAAAATTTTGTCATTAATTACTCACCCTCATGTCATTCCAAACCCGTAAGACCTTCATTCATCTTCAGAACTCAAGTTAAGATATTACTCATGAGTGTAAGTAATGACAGAATTGTAATTTTTGTGTGAACTATCCCTTTAAATCGAGATACATTTACTTAAGAAGCAAAACGACGTAAGAACTCTTGTGAAATAAATGATAAACTCTTTGTTCTCAGCTAAAGAAAAAACAAGGAAAATATGCTTCAAATTGAACACTAAACAGGTTACCTTTCAAATGCTCTCTGGACCCTGTGGACAATCTGGAACATTAAGATGTCATGTACAAGAAGATCACGGTCTTCAACGCTTTTCAGAGGCCTGACACATCCAGCAGTCAGCAAGTAGTCCAACAATGGCTCTGTTGCTTCTAACAGCTCCTTTAAATTTGTGGCATCTTGAATCTAAAAACAAAATAACAATAATAACAACAGCAACAATAATAATAAGAAGAAGAAGAACAAAAACTAAAAATATTAATAATAATAACCTTCTGAAATTATGACAAAGCTCAAAATACCTTTTTGACCTTCTCATTTAAACAAGAATCTGACAGTGTGGGTTTTGCTGACTCCGGGCCATTAACCAAACAGGAGAACAGTACTTGAGATAGAAATCCTGGAGCAGGCCCCCCATGGACTAAACTTACAGCATTTGCTTGTCCCGCAATGTAATAGCGGTTTTTTATCAATAGTAAAAAAGGAAAAAAAAACATACCACAACTATCAAGAGTAAGATTTTGTGATTGCTCATTGCCTTCGAACATTGAACTGTCTTTTAAGGCCTGCATGAGGAGCCTTAAAAACTCCCTGCGTGGTCCCCCTAAGTCCACTGCTTCCTCATGGCTCCCAGTGTCATCCGAGAATTTAACTGAGATTGCATTGGAGGGGTTATAGTTGATTCGGGTAAAACCTCGAATAGCTCCTTCAAGCACTGCTGAGTGGTTTATGTTAAACCTGCAGTGTGAATTGTAGTTTATGTTGGAGGCCAGGTCCAAAAGAATATTCTTAATAGGAACTTCCTCAAAGTTTCTATCAACACAATTTGAAAGAAAAAATAAAGTTAACAATAAATGTTCAACCACAACTCTGAAAAGCACTTGAGCAGGTATGGAACTCTGTAATGCTATGATTTGTAGACAGTGCTCAATGCAATTATACCATGGTCTGTCTGAATACTCCATTCCGACTGGCTGAAAGGTGTGCAATAAAACCATTTTTTTTACACAGTTAGTTTCAAGTCAGTTCAGATCTAATGCTAGATCTGCTGGATGTAATGAGCCATAACTGATTAAAAATAACCGTCAATTTTACCCTTCCGGTCAAATATTGCACGACAAACATCAATAAGTTTCAACTTGTCAATGTTGGCAAATGACCATGGTATAAGCACGATAATCCATGACTAGATGTGCATTAACCAATTTTAATACACTTTGCAGAGGCAACCACCATCCGCTTCACATCAGGCAGTTCTTTAATGCACAGCTAGCTGTGGCTTATCCCTGATTAATATAACTCACAACAGCATAGTTAGTTGATACTTATGATGTACTTACCGATGTGTTTCAATGCTGGCAAGAATTGCCTGGTTAAGATCTTCATCATCTGATGAAAAGTCTGAGAAGGAGGTCATCACTGACAGATAGGCACTGTAATCATCATGGCTTGTTATCTCATAGTTCACTGTATTTGGAGCTGAAGATGTTGAAGCCTGTTCAAGAGAATGCTCTGGTGAAGTGGATGGTGTAGTTGCCCATGAACTGCAAGGCACTGTTGAGTATGAGAGTAATGTAGAAGGTTGTGTAGGAACAGGCTCAGCAATAGGTGGGGAACATAATTCAGTGGTCCTGTGGCAATGTTCTAGAGGTGTGATCTCAGTTACTGTCTCAGAGTCTGTACTGTCATCTTTCCTGTTGTCACCACAAAAGGAGTCACACTACCAAACAACACACACACAATAGACTTGCACTAAGACAGCACATTATAATATAAAATAATTGATCAAGTATTCATTTAAGAGCAAGGCCGTAACCTTGTCTTGAACATGGGGGACCAACTTTCATATAGAAAATGGGAATCTACGTCACGGAGCGTTGCATTCCACCATGTTTTGGAACATGCTCAGAAGCACAGTGTAAACAAACGCAAATTACCACAGAAAAAATGTAGTAAAAAAAAAAACTGTTGTGTGTCTGAGAAGCTGCAAATATTCATTACATAGCATTCAGTCTCCTTCACTAAAGTGGTACTGATATAACTGCTAAAACACTTAAGAAAATTAACCATGGTTTTATTATAGTAAACGTGTTGCAACCATGTTTTTGGTGTAATTATTATCATTCGTATAACAAGAGTGCTGCATAATGGTGGGCAGCAGATCAGTGCAAATATTGGGGGAGGGCAGTTTGGCCATTTGTAATTATTGAGGGGACTTGTCTATTGTGGTTACGGCCCTGTTTAAAAGTATGCCATACCTCTATTTCCTTTGATGGCCTTAGGTACAGGGTCTTTGATTTAAAGACTTTGTGAATCAGTTGTCCACTCAGCTCCTGGCCTTCACACACCTTTGGTGCAACTAAATTGTTTCCACAAGGCATCATGAGCTCTAATCTATGAATAAGCAAAAACTAATTTTTAAAAGAACATTTATCAATTTGATTTCAGTTTATGGAAAAAAAATGGGTCCCAAAACCTTCCAAGGACATTGTCCGGTAGCGATTGTGGTTAAATCACAGATGTTTTAGAAATTACAGCTAAACTAAAATAATTATAGCCTAACTAAACTTTTATGGAAGAATCAACACCCATTTCTTAACAATTAGCAGCAGTACAACTTACTCATTCATTCATTTGTAAATCATGGTCATCATTGTTATTTTTTTCCCATTTTAGTAAGTAAGTGCATTGCATGCCCAAAGATGTGTGAGAAATGAAATGCGTTCTGAAAACATTACATACCTGACATCTGATGGCAAGCAATCTTTGAATGCTTCTTGTAATTTGGACATAGTGGTGCTGTAATCCCATTCTTTTTGAAACTCAAAAGCACTAAGGATGTGTCCTTTCTGATACAACATTCTCTTCGTGGACTGCTTGCATGTCTTGTCCCATGTTGGTGAAGGCAGCAGAATTACATCCTTGTTAAAAGACTGGTAAAATTGTCTTCTAGGCCTTAAAAAGATAAGTGGCAATGAATTCTTATTCTGTTCTCAAGTCTATGATGAGCAGCACTGACGTTTAAAAATGCATACAAGTAAAATCAACTATGCAAAACAGCCAGACTTTGGCAGCACTGTAACACACACACACACACATATATAACCTTTGTAAATAAGCTTTAAACTCACAAATGGTTATATCTTAATGTTAATGCCAATGTCCCAATAGGGTGAGGCAATATTGCGTTGATTTGGGACCAGAGTCAGTCTGCTCAGAGAAGCTGTCAATATCAGCTGTCTATCATGACGTCATACTCCCGTTTTTAAAGCATCACATAACTAACTAAAACCAAATTTATTTAAAAATGAACAATTGTACTTACATCAGTATGATAAAAACTATATAAAATGACAAAAGCATCTTTGGAAAAATATTATTTGAAGTGAAATTTAATTATTTAGTTTGTCTGTATAATCATACATATAAACATATAATCAAGTGTTTAAGGATACTTTAAAGTACTCACCTCTTTTTATTTCTTTTTGATTCATGCCAGGCTCCGAACCTTTGGCGAGTCTGAAAACGCGGTCCCTAGTTGGCTGGACGAAATGCATTTCTGATCTCATCTTCTACGCCTTCGTTATTTGTTGGTGTGAGGGAAGGAATCGTGTTTGGTGATTGTAAAATATTGTTTAAAATATTAATAGCCTCAGACAACTCGTTTCGATTATCTGCCATTGCCAAACGATTTTGTGAGACACGCGCCGGCGCCAAATTAAACGGAAATGTGGACATGGCTTCCGTTTCAAGTGAAATTAGCTCTCATCAACTACTGAAATCTTCTCTCATTTCAGCTGTGTATGAATGATTTTCACTAAGGTTGATCAATGTTTTCACTGGTGTATGTAAGAGGTTTTCAGTAATGCGTATGAATGAATTTCACTAAGGTTTATCAATGTTTTTTATTTCACTAGTGTTTGTAAGAGGTTTTTCGATAATTATGTCATCTCATAGTTAGATGTGACTTTGATGTGATTTACTTTGATACAGATCAGAAC